AAATTTGGTGTGCCATTTCTAGCCTCTGATTTTCCCAAGATAAATATAGCCACCTTCTTTCTGAATGAAAATCCTATCAGTTCTCATTCTTTCACATCTTCCATAACCATCTCTACGTCCTTGATCTTCAAATTATCTGCATGGGGCTGCTAGTTAATTAAGAAAAACTAAACAAGGATTTCCTACATTGTGTTTACTTTGAGCCTCATCAGCATATTGATGATACCTCACCCCAAAATCTCAATATGATCGCACCCAATGGCCAGTGGCACCATATAGACCTAAAGAAAACAGAGGGCAACACTGAGAGGCAGTTTGGTGTAGCGGTTAAGAGCGTGGACTCTAAACTGGAAAAACTGGGTTCGTTGCCCCACTCCTCCACATGCAGCTGCTGGTGTGACTTTGAGTCAGTCACAAGTTCTCTCAGAGCTGTTCCCTCACAAGCAGTTCTTGAAAGAGCTCTCTCAGCCCCACCTACCTCACAGGGTGTCTGTTGTGGGGAGAGGAAGGGAAGGAGATTGTAAACTGCTCTGAGATTCCTTCAAGTAGTGAAGGGTGAGATATAAATCCAATCTCCTCCTCCTCCTCCTCTTCTTCTTCTACCATGTGGAACATCACAAGACAATCCAGCAAGGGTCAGCTGAACCCCACCAAAGGCAAAGAAGCACCAAAAGCTTCAAGACCTCAACTTCCCCAACCAGTATTATGACTCTTTTGCCAGGATTAATTTTTAATTTGTTCAGTCTTAACCAGTTAACCACCGCAGTAGTAACCACAGCAATGCCCACTTTTCAAAATAGGAATGATTTCTCCTAAGGGTTTTACACAGAGATAGAACAGCATAGGAGACAGAAGTGCGACCTAGGGAATCCCAACAGGTCACTCCCCACACTGATGACACAGTCTCTGACAGCATCTGTTTGACTTCAGTCGGTAAGGAAAGATTTTAACCCATCCAAAGCATGCCCCTTGATCCCTGAGGCAGGGCTCTTTTTGTAGAAAAAGCCCAGCAGGAACTCATTAGTGTTATTGCCCACTTCTCTGGCACGAGGGGCTGAGACTGTTCCACTAGTCCCAGACAGCTGCCCCAAGATTGGCCAGGAATTGAAAGGGACCCACACAAATCACAAGAAAATAATAACAACAATCACACAAAAACCTATCCCACCCATAAACTTATTACCTATGATAGAGGAAAAAGACAAAGCAAAAAGCAGGTTTCAGAGTACCTGACCGTGCCCTGTGAGCCAAGACCGACTTGGCTAACACAGGATCACAGCTTGGTATGATATTCAGCCGTTAACCATGCAGCAAGGAAAAATCTCAACACGCTGACACAGTTTTGTTAACTGCTTATAGATCCTGAGTCAGAACTCCAGATGTATCCATTTAAACTGCATCGACAGACCACAGAGCTTCTAAACCGGTCTCTGGAGAAGCGGCATACGAATTTTCTAAATAAACAAAGCAGTGGCCTGTGAAAACCTGATGTAGGACTATGGGCTCCATTTTATAATTGGATAAGAGAGAAATATAAAGATGTGAACTCTCGGATATTATAATATTAAGAAGACTTTATGAACTTTTAAACCTCGCAGTTTATCTGTGTATAACATGAGATAACATGAGATGACAAGGAGAGGAAAGTTACATGCATAAAATCATTACTGTTGTTCTTTCCCCTGCCCCTGCCCCTTTCCCCTTCCTCATCCTTGTGTATTTTAAAAACTTAATAAAAATTTATTCATTAAAAAGAAAACCCTGATGTCAGGGGCCTCTCCCATTGCATGCTGTGGGTGCACACAACAGGCTGGGAAGAAACTCCTTAAATGAAGAAGAGTCCTGCTCAGGGTGGCAAAGAACACCTGTAGAAACACACCATTATGTAATTCTTCCCCATTGCTGAAGAGTTGTTTCAACAGAAGAGTTGTTTCAATAGAGGGTGAGGCATGTCGAGACTCCCCAGAATTAAACAAAAGGGTTTGTTTTTCCCCCTGTTGTCTGACTGTACACTGAGAGGACACACGTATAGCAGCCATATCAGTAATTTCCTTTGCTAATTACCGTTCATTAACTCGTTTTAGAAGCTCAGAGGGGCAATATTATATGACCAGAAAAAAACAATCCCAGAATGTTGTTGTAAATAAAATGCCAGAAGAGGCTTTGGCAGAACCAGCCTGGGACTGGGGGGGGGGGGGGGGGGAAAAAAAGGCTGTAAAAGGCGGAAAGAAACAGAGCTTAGCCTCTGCCATTTTGACTGTCCGAAGACGTTTCCGTGGTCATGTGGCCGGCATGACTAAACACCAAGGCGCACGGAACGCTGTTACCTTCCCACCGAAGTGGTACCTATTTATCTACTTGCAATTTCTTGCTTTCGAACTGCTAGGTTGACAGGAGCTGGAACTAGAGACGGGAGCTCACTCCGTCATGTGGCACCCGGGTCTTGAATTGCTGAACTACCGACCTTCCACAGCCTGCAGTTCAGCGTCTTAACCACTTGAGCCACCGCAGTTTAAGGACTAACAAAATACGTGGCAGGGTAGGAGCTTTCCGGAGCCACTGCTCACTTCTTCAGATACAGACAGATGAACACGGCTACCCATCTTGATCTATCTCCAGGAGTGACGTGTTTTGTTTTAATTTTTAAACATGATTTTTGTTTCTTTGCTCGTTGCTACTGCTGGCCCGGATGGCCCAGGCTAGGCCAATCTCATCAGATCTTGGAAGCTAAACAGGGCTGGGGTTGGGGTTGGTTAGTATTTGGATGGGAGATTACCAAGGAAGTATTTTATTTATTTATTTTATTCAGGATTTTTTATTCTGCCCTCCCCAAAGTGGGCTCAGGGCAGATCATGAGAAACTTGAGTCCAAGGAAAGGCTGTTACGACTGGCACAGCGGAACTTGGTCTTCGTTCTCTCCAGCATGTGGGACTACGAGTGTGGGACAAGGGAAGAAAGGGCTAGCGTTTCTGTTCCCCCAGGAACTCTCTCCATCAGCGCACCCACCTAGAGTTATTTGCCCTCAAAATAGACTTGTCAGTAGGGTTACCAACCTCCAGGTGGTGGCTGGAGATCTCCTGGGATTAGAACTGATCTCCAGGCAACAAAGATCAGCTCCCCTGGAGAATATGGCCACTTTGGAAGAAGAAAAAGACGAAGAAGACGAAGAAGACGAAGAAGACGAAGACGAAGACAAAGAAGAAGAAGAAGAAGAAGAAGAAGAAGAAGAAGAAGAAGAAGAAGAAGAAGAAGAAGAAGAAGAAGAAGAGGAGATTGGATATATACCCCGCCCTTCACTACCCAAAGGTGTCTCAGAGCGGTTTACGAACTCCTTTCCCTTCCCCTCCCCACAACAGACACCCTGTGAGGTAGGTGGGGCTAAGAGAGCTCTGAGAGAAACTGCTCTTTTTTCAAGAACAGTTCTTATCAGAACTTGACTGACCCAAGGTCACATCAGCAGGTGCAAGTGGAGGAGTGGGGAATCAAACCCGGTTCTCCCAGATTAGAGTCCGTGCACTTAACCACTACACCAAACTGGAAGGTGAACTCTGTGGCATTATACCCCACTGAAGTCCCTCCCCTCCCCAAACCTTGCACTCCTCAGGCTCCACCTCCCAAATCTCCAGGTATTTCCCAACACGGAGCTGCCAACCCTAATGGTTAGTAAATTTTCTTTTGTATTTAAAAGCCCTTGGTAATCTGAAGTCCTAAACTGCAGTTACTAACTTGTATCTAAATCCACCTCTGCAACTGTCGTGGTAGGATTTATATTTTGTATTTCATAGGAAGGGACACAGCTGGTTTTTTTACCTGAAGGTGGACTACGCTCTTGGCTACAGTCTCTTGGCTACAGTTGGTGTAGTGGTTAAGTGCGCGGACTTTAATCTGGGAGAACCGTACCTTGTGGCTAATAGCCACTGATGGACCTCTGCTCCATATGCTTATCTAATTCCCTTTTGAAGCCGTCCATGCTTGTAGCACCCACCACTTCCTGTGGCAGTGAATTCCATGTGTTAATCACTCTTTGGGTGAAGAAGTACTTCCTTTTATCCGTTCTAACCCGACCGCTCTGCAGTTTCATGGAGTGCCCACGAGTTCTTGTATTGTGAGAAAGGGAGAAAAGTACCTCTCTTGGCTACAGACTCTTGACTACAATTTGTGTAGTGGTTAAGTGCGCGGACTCTAATCTGGGAGAACCGGGTTTCATTCTCCACTCCACTTGCAGCTGCTGGCATGACCTTGGGTCAGTCACAAGTTCTCTCAGAGCTATTCTCTCACGAGCAGTTTCTATCGGAGCTCTCTCAGCCCCACCTACCTCACGGGGTGTCTGTTCTGGGGAGAGGAAGGGAAACAAGTTTGTAAACCACTCTGAGACTCCAAATGAAGGGCGGGGTATAAATTCAGTCTCTTCTTCTTCTTCTTCCTCCTCCTCCTCTTCTTCTTCTTTCTCCTCCTCCTCTTCAAGAGAAGGAGACCCCAACTAAGGGATCATCCCAAAGGGGAGGAGTGTGACCAGAGGCCATTCTACCAGCTGAACTAGCCAGATTTTGAGATCCAGGCCTCTAGCTATAACACAGTTGCCACAGCAATCCTAGTAACTCCAGAGGGAGTGTTCCGCTCAGACAAACAACTTTAGTGTTCTTTGGGTCTGTATATGCCCGGCATGCCGTGGGAGGCGCCGCAGTCGGGTACGACGAAGTGTCACCGCGAGGTCACTGTTGCCGTAAGGCCCTGGATAATTAGGGGTGTGAGGAGCGGCTAAGCAGCCCTGCCCAGAAACAAAAATAATAATAATAATAGGTTAGTCATTCATTGGCTCAGCAACTGTTCTGTCTCCATCCCCATGCTCAGCTCTTCCCCCGCCCCGCTGCCCCCCCCCACACACATCGTTGATGGGATCCCTCCGTCTTCACTCAGGGGACCCACGCCTGAGTTCTCCCCGCCTTGCCAAGTGTCAGGTTCTTTCCACTTCTATCTGGGCCACCCCAAATCTGGGCCACGATGGGTGTGTTTGGAACAGCCACCGCCTGGCCCCCACCCACTGTCACGGTGATGGCCCTGGGTTTTGACAGCGGATTGCCAGTTACAGAAAGAATATATAGGAGTCTGTCGTGATAAATCTTGGGTCTCTGTTCTAACAGATCGGCTGCAGGTCTTTCTCCGGGCTTCCCGGGAGGTGTTACTTCCCCCTCTGCCGCCTGCTGCTGCTGCTCCGTGTGGACCTCTGAGGATATGGCTAAGAGAGCTGCTGCAACCTTGTTCCTCACCGTCGCCTTCTTCCAAATGGGTAAGACAATACGGGAGGTGGAGCGTGCAGTTAGATCTGACTTGCGAACCTCCTATGGCTGTGAATGCTCTGTCAGCTTTCGAGGCCGCAGCTTTTTAAACCCCGTTTTCTCTCCTTCGTTGCGAGAGAGCTGTTGGGGGTCTGATTAAAGGTTACATGGGAAAGCGTGCAAAGAAGGCCTTGCGGTCCGCTTCCTTGCTGTGTGGGGAGGAGGGGGTGAAGCAATACAGAGTGGGAAAGTGCCTACTCACGGCAACCCTGTAGGGTTTCCAAGACCAGAGAAGTCCAGAGGGGGGTTGCCATTGCCTGCCTTTGCTTAGGAACTCTGGGCTTTCTTGGTGGTCTCCCATCCAAATACTAACCAGGGCCGACCCTGCTTAGCTTCCGAGATCTGATGGCATACAGGCTAGCCTGGGACGTCCAGGTCAGGGCAATCTTTCTTCTGCCTATTGTTGTTTTTTTTCTTCTAGCCCCCAGCAGTGTTCCCTCTAAGCTGAGTTAGTGTGAGCTAGCTCACAGTTTTTTAGCCTCTGGCTCACACATTCTTGTCTTAGCTCAGGAGAGATGTCTCCAGAGCAAACTAATTTATGCAGTAGCCAAACCACTCGCTCACAGCTTTAATGCCAGTAGTTCACAAAGCAGAATTTTTGCTCACAAGACTCCACAGCATAGAGGAAACATTGGCCCCCAGCCTCTTTTTCCACACTGGGGCTACTGACATAGCTTTACCTCACCAAAGGCCTGTGCAGGTGTTAATGCTCCTGCAAACTGGGACCTGCCCACCACAGGGATCAGGAATGCACAGCCACTGCAAGGCACCAGGAATGCGGCATCAGTGATTTGTGTGAACTGCAGAAGAAGCATGAAAAATCCACATGCTAGCCAGTTCATGCAGTACAATGAATCTGCATATCAGATGTGTCGCGGGGAATGCATGCTCCCAATACACACAGTTGGTTTGCTCCCCCTAAGCTGTGGAGTCTTGTGAGCAAAAATTCTGCTTTGTGAGTTACTGGCATTAAAGTTGTGAATGAGCTATTTGGCTGCTACATAAAGTATTTTGCTCTGGAGCCATCCTTCCTGAGCTAAGACAAAAACGTGTCAGCCAGAGGCTAAAAAACTATGAGCTAGCTCACACTAACTCAGCTTAGAGGGAACACTGCTCAGGACTGGTTCGAGGTTTGGGGTGGGCCTGAGCACAGACTGCCTTCTGTGGCCTCCCCCTATTGCCCACCCACCCATGTGCCCCCATCTGTCTATGCATCCTTCCTTTGCCAGTCTGCAAACTCTCCCATCACCTGCAGTCACGGGTGCCCACACTGCCTGCGTGCCCTTTCCTTGATGGTGCTGGGTGGTATTGGGGTTCACTGGTGCAGTTAGTCCAGTTCCTGCTAGCTAGCAGAGTGCTAGCCATGTTGCAAGTTTAGAAGAGGAGTTCTTCTCTCTGTATTTGAGAAATCCACTTTTGGATAGGAAAGAGCAGGATAGAGTACTAACTTATTAGCCAAGGATGGAAGCAGATGGCGAGAGGCCCATCTGCCTCATGGTGCCAAGAGAGGACCGCATGTCATCCCTCTTGGTGTGTGCAAGGAGAGAGTTTGGCTGATTTCGCACTAGAGCTGCCTCGATGTTGCGCCGCCGTTTGCCCTGATACTATTGGTCAATTTCACACCCGAAGCTGCGGGACTGCATTTTGACTCGCGGCTTTGCCTGATTTCCCCCGCAGTTTTGTGATCCTGTTTTTTTGAGGATCACAAAACTGCGGAGGAAATCGGACAAAGCCGCAGGTCAAATGCAGCCCCTGGCTTCGGGTGTGAAATTGACCAATAGTATCGGGGCAAACGGCAGCGCAACATTGAGGCAGCTCTAGTGCAAAATCAGCCTTTGTCATCTCTGAGAGAGAGGAAGGAAGGAAGGAAGGAAGGAAGGAAGGAAGGAAGGAAGG